AAGAAATCGGTTTTTTCCAGGCAGCGTGGGTCTGTACTTACGGGAGCAAAAGCGGTTGCTTCCCGGTGCAGTCGGGTGGGAGGAGTTCTCCCGACTCCCGGCTTGCCTTAATCCATCCCAAAATTAAAACGAGGTGGGGGGCAGAGGGAAATCGTAAACCCTTTCGCCCTGCACAGAAAAAGCCGTGAATGAGGTCGGTGTGTCCCCGCCCAGCACCACTGCGGTCTGCTAGGTTTTTTCACCCGCTCCCCTTTTATTGTTTAAATAGCAGGAGTTTGGATATATATTAAAGTTTGATGAGCGGCTTCCTGAACTCATAACGAGCCTGGCGTTTACTCCCTAGAGTTTGTCAGGGTGTTGGTTGTGAATCCCTTTAAAACAACGATTAAAAAAAAAAAAAAGCAACCAAAAAACTAACACCCCCCCCTTAAAAAAAAACCTCAACAAAAACAATCCGACATAAACCAGCATAAGAGGAGGAGAGGGGAAGCAGGGCTCAGTCCCGGAGCTGCAGCCTTTGCAGGGCGATGCCAAGGGGCTGACCGTGTCTTGGCTCCCCTTTTCCCACATCAGCACAGGAGAGGGTCAGAAGTGGGAGAAGGGTTGTTTTGGGGTGAGGACCTGAGGGTTTGGATGATGCTTGTTTTCAAGGGGTAAGGAGAAATGAGCATGCTAATAATGAAATGACCCTGATAGAGAAGGCTGTCCTGGAGGTGCCAGCTTTGGGGTAGAGAGAAACGCCTCTGAACAGGGCTCCAACGAGGCTGGTCTTGGCAGGGGAGTCTTCAGAAATGGCTGTGGTGAGGGGTAGCTCTCCCTCCACAGCACTGCACCCGCCTCATCTCTCGTCCTCCACACTAGGAGCTCTATGTGCCCTGTTATGCAGTTATAAGAGAAATACCACTAAGAAAGGATTGTCATGATCTTAAGTTTGGTGTGGAGAAGATGAGCCTCTGGCAACAAAGACTGCTGGGATTTGACCCGCTGAATGTCCCTTGGGTAGTGGGGAAGGACACAGAACCAGTGATCTGCAACAACCTGTAGCATGACCCGCAGTCCTGGTGTTTGCTATCCACTGTGAAACAAAAAGGTGTTTTCCTCCCATTCCTCAGTTATTCCCATCACCTCTGAATACTCTGTAACTTTTCAATACCATTTTTAGAAGTGGGATGAGCAGTGCCGGATACTGAATCATTGCAAATAAGGACAAGCCATAAAGTTATGCAATACATTCTCCAGTCTCACATCCTGTGATCCAAATCAAACATTCTTTTCTTAGTAGACGGCTTTTTACACAATTTCTCCCTTCCTCTCCCCCTGCATACTCCTGACTGTGACAAAGCATGAGAGACCTAGGCTCTTGCATCAACCTTTGTTCTCTAGACCAATGTTTTCTGTTTAACTTTCTTAGTTACCCAGCATCAGCTGGAGTCACAGTCCCTAGCAACTCTGGAAAGGCTACCCAGAGCCTCCAAGGCCAACAGGAGAAAGGAGTGAAAGGAGAAAGGAGTGGACTAAGAAAAAAAAGAAAAATCTAGTTCATTCTAAGCCTCTAGTTGGAAACTCCTGATTTTTAATAGAATCTGAAGAAGTGATTCAGGGTGGAATGGGATACGCCTGCCATAAAGACAAATATTCAGGTTTGGAAGGAAGAGGATATAAACTTCAGTTTCTGGATTTAATTCTACCCTTAAAGGCATGGAGGGATACATGTGTGGCTGGGAATGACAACAGTTATCTATCCATGGGATCAATTTCTCTCTTCCAGTACTTTTTAATAATTTTACTTTCCTTTTCTATGGCATCTTTCCCCAAACCTAACAGTTTGTAAACATTGCTTCTGCTCTCAGATATGTCAATTAAACTATTGCCATTTCAGTCCAATGTTAAAGGAATAAGCTCTGAATGAACAAATCTTTATATGCCTCATAGAGACATTAGGTGTACGTAATCCTATGCCTGTTTTTACTGACGTAAGTCTATGTCAGTCAGCTGAAATTGTAGAGCAAGGTCAGCATATAACATGTGAGATGTTAAAAGGAATCAGGTTCTAAAAGTCAGATCAAAGTCTGGAGACAAAGTCAGCTGTAAAGTTTTGTCTAACTGCTGCCTGTCTTGCATAGCTGTGGTGCTTATGTAGGAGGCATTAACCGAATGAGAAGAGATGCTTGACTTGAAACACATTGGCCAGAATGTCTGGGCTAAAGGGATGCTGTTAGCTGGTCCAAGCGTCAGTGTCATGTTCACAGCACTTGGAGACTCCTGTTTGAAATAAACTGTGTTGGTAGTGGAAAATATTGTTTCATTATATTTTCTCATTCAACAGAATGAGAGAAGTTTTCTGAATATGAAATATAAAACAGTTACTGAATCAGTGGTACCAAAGAAGTAGCCAGCAGAATGGCATATGACAAAACTATCATGATCTCCCCATGACCTTTCTGAAGATACTGATACATGTCAGAATGAAGGTTGCCTTCTTTCCCCCAAGTGAGCTGGGGAGGATTCCTTTTAGGACTGTTTACTGACTGACTTCATCTCTGGACTTCATTGTGCTCATCTACCTTGTCTGGAAACTGTCACCTAGAGAGACAATCCCATTAGAAGTTTCTTTATCTTTTAAGTGGACTCTGCAATTATCTGCTTCTTTGGTGACCATGTCCATTACTATAGTGCTGAGTTCCCTCTCTGAATGGCTCTTCCTGCAGGAAGTGCAGCTGGGGGGGCGGTTCCCCTGGAGCCTTATTTTCCCTTTTCCTATTTTTTTAGTGTCCCGGGAGTGTCTTGGAGGAGGCCTTCCATTTTCATGCTTTGGAAAGTATCCACCAAGCTCTCCCCTTTTCTGTACCCAAGGTTTATCTGCAGGTAAACAGCAACAATAGATGTAGAAATTGGAGTTTCCTGTGTCAGGACTAAGAAAAAAAATATTAACTGAAAAGACATCTGATTGTGTTACAAACCTAACCTTGTGCAAAGAAAAGTATTTTTTCTGTAACTCTGACTTTCAATATGTTTTATCTTCTAGCATCTGCTTTTGCGTATATGCCATTACTATTGCTGAGTTCCCTCTCTGAATGGCTCTTCCTGCAGGAAGTGCAGCTGGGGGGGCGGTTCCCCTCTAGCCTTATTTTCCCTTTTCCTATTTTTTTAGTGTCCCGGGAGTGTCTTGGAGGAGGCCTTCCATTTTCATGCTTTGGAAGGTATCCACCAAGCTCTCCCCTTTTCTGTACCCAAGGTTTATCTGCAGGTAAACAGCAACAATAGATGTAGAAATTGGAGTTTCCTGTGTCAGGGACTAAGAAAAAAAATATTAACTGAAAAGACATCTGATTGTGTTACAAACCTAACCTTGTGCAAAGAAAAGTATTTTTTCTGTAACTCTGACTTTCAATATGTTTTATCTTCTAGCATCTGCTTTTGCGTATATGGACTCTGTGTGGACAGG